GGATGCAGACATAGCAAAGCAATAACATAACAAACAACTACCCGGATTCCCATCCGATAAAGCGCCGACCTTGGTGCCTTAGACCCTGTCGATATAGTGAGGATAACTCATCTGCAACTGCCGACTTGAAGATATAAGACCATGCTGCTCCGACCACTAGCACGAACTCCACCACTGATCATTACCAAATAACCAAAACCAATAAACAACAATAAATACCAAAATACCATTGGAAGTCAAACTGGTCAACCCTTGGTCCAAAACCAATCACATGCCATTCCATTGCTTCCAATACATAGATCTAGACTCCTAGGGCCAGATTCACATGTAAAGTTTCCAACTTTACGTGCATTCAAGGCTCAACAAGCTCTAATCAAGCTAAAATGAAGGTTTAAGGCAAGGACGCTCTCAATCAAGCCCCAAAGCTATCACTTCCCATATTCATGAGTCAAGACCAGTCTAGATCTGCAGTAGAAACCACAGATCTGAGCCCAATACTCGAAAAGAGACTCATATATGACAATTTGGCCCTAAAACTTCATCCATGAACAATCTAAGCACAACAAGGTCAAGGCAACATCTTTTTACCTTCAATCTGATGCCAACAAGCAAGGAAATCAGATCCACTTCGCTCCTCTATGATCCCACCAACTCTTGCTTCAAGTATCCTTCTTCTCCAAGCTCCAAAACACACTTAGATCCTTCTCACTCTCAAATTAGGGTTTGAAATTATTGGGGAAAGCTTCTTTACATCAAAGGGAGTGCTAAAGAGGTAGGGTGGGTTATAATGTGATTTATATAGGGCACAACCCCCGGATTAGGGTTTTCTCCCTTTAATACCAACTCGCCGAGTCCAGCCACCGAATCACCGAGTTGGTCGCTTAACACGTGACGAGAACCGCGACTCGACTCGCCGAGTCTACCCATCAACTTGCCGAGTCGACCTTCCATATTTACACTAAGAACCCTGAACTTGCACTTCTGAACTTGGGGTGTTACAAGACATAGTAAACATACCAATATAGATTGTGAGGAAACGTTTAGCCTGATTTTTAAACCGGCTACCATTCAGACAGTTTTGAGTTTGGCTATTTTCTCATTCGTGGCTCGTTCATCAGTTGGATGTGAAGAATACATTTCTTCATGCTCACCTTCAGGAGACAGTCAACATTCACTAACCACCATATATTCGTAATCAGTTTGCTCCTGATTACGTGTCTCTCGTATATAAGTCATTATATGGTTTGAAACAGGCTCCGTGAGCATGGTACCACAAATTTTCTCATTTTATCATTCGCTTTGTATTTACTAATAACAAAGCTGATCCCTTTTTATTTATATATAGACATGGTGCACATATGGCGTATCTCCTCTTATATGTGGATGTGTTGACTGCTTCTTCTACCACTCTCATTCAACAGGTTATTCATACACTTCGCTCTGAGTTCGCTATAACAGACTTGGGTGTTAAATTATTTTCTTGGTATTGTTGTTACGACATTGCCATGGCATGTTTTTATCTCAACAATAATATGCATATGAGATACTTGATCGTGCAAATATGTCTAACTACAAGCCGGCCTGCACTCATGCTGAAACCAATGCCAAACTTGATTATACATGCCCACGTTTGTTCATCCGACTCTATATTAGAGTCTCGCGGGTGCACTCCAATACTTGACATTCACACGTCTAGATATTTCCTATGTTGTTCAACAAATTTGTCGATATATGCATGATCCTCCTAAGCAGCACTTCTCAAATCTCAAACGAGTTCTTTGTTACATTCGTGGAACTCTGGATCATGGCTTATAGCTATATGCCTCTCTGTAACGTGGTCTGATTGCTTACTCTAATGCTTATTCCAATCGGATGACTGAGTGGATCCGAGGGTATTCCAATCCAATAAGTGAGTGGGCCCACTGTATATTGGTATTCTAGTCTGATGACTAAGTAGATCTGTTATATATTGGCATTATAGTTCGATGATTGATTGGGCTAGGAGGGGCTAATCAAGCCTGATGGCTGTGGACCCATGGGTATTCCAGTCCGATGACTGATTGGACCTAGCATGCTTGTTCGTTTATGATATGTGTTTTGTGTGGTGGTACTTTGGGAGAACTCACTAAGTGTTGGCTAGCTTACAATTTTTGGTTATGGTTTCAGGTACTTCCAAGGGTTGTGGGAAGGCGAAGGTGTGACTGTACACATCTTGATTTTATGTTGTTGATCTTGGGAAACTCTGTTTTGAACAATGATTTAAAAACAATGGTTTTGTAGACACTTTTATTAACGTAAATGGGTTGATTTGAAAAGTTTAAATTGGTTGTGATTTTTGAGATGTCACAACATCAAGAATGTCAATAGAAGGCTCATAACGATATTTTAGCTTCATGTCAAAAATTACCAATGATGAGGGAATTCAGAAGGGGGGAGGGGGTATTGCTACATTGACTTCCATAACTTTTGGGTTTATCAGGAATGTGTTGGGAAAACAACAAAACAAGTTAAAGACTTTAGACAAATGATAAAAGGACTTTGGTGAAACTTGTGAAATTAAACTTTTACAAAATTAAATATAGTATTTAACATGGTTCGGTTAAAGTAGCCTATGTCTATGATAAAACGAGATAGATAGATAGATAGATAGATAGATAGATAGATAGATAGATAGATAGATAGATAGATAGATAGAGAGAGAGAGAGAGAGTGTGTGTGAGAGAGTGAGAGAGAGAGAGAGAGAGAGAAAGAAAGAAAGAAAGAGAAAGAGAGATAGAAAGAAAGAAAGAGAGAGGATTTCATTAAACTTTCAAGAATTATTATAATCACCCAATGTTACACCGGACTTGAGTTCTTAAAACAAAAGAATCACTCTTGCTTACAAACTGCTCTAGCGGATATGCTGTAATAATAATTGCTCTCTTGAAAGTACTCATGAAAAACTTGCAGCAAATAGTGATGGGGATATAAGTCTATTTAAAGACAAGAATGGGAACCCCTAATTCTGAGTGGTCATGCCCATCCATAATTAACCCATGAAAGCGATGCCCTAATGTCCAACTAATCATAAAATGCCTCAAAATGGCACACTTTATCTAACAATGGCACACCTTATGCCACCAAAGGCACACCTTGATCCTTGGTGACATATCTTAATGCATGACATATCTTTTGATATTTCATCCCAACTCCAAGTGCTCTATTAGGATTCCTGATGCTCTATGTGACTCCAAGTGCTCCATTATGATTCTTGATGCTCCTTGTGCCTCCAAGTGCTCCATCATGATTCTCGATGCTTCATGCACCTTTAAATGCTCCATCAGGACTCTTGATTCTTTATGTGCATCCATGTGCTACATTGGGATTCCTCATACTCCATGTGCCTCTAAGTGCCCCATCATGATTCTCGATGCTTCATGTGCCTTCAAGTGCTCCATTAGGATTCTTAAGCAAATTTAATCAAGAATTCACACCCTAATAATCTCCTACTTAAAGGAGTAAACAAGATAAACATTAATTAACATTCAATTTTTCATTATTCCTCAACCTCTCTCTCTTTCTATCCCTCTCTTGCGCTCTTTCTCTCTCTCCTGCCAAATCATTCTCTTCAAACTTCTAGAAGGCCAGTAAAAACCATGCAAAGCTTCAACTTCTCAGTGGTGATAACCTTGGTGAACATATCAATTGGATTCTTCATTCCAAGGATTTTCTTTAGATTTAGAGTTCCTTCATTGATTAACTCTCGAAATAAAATTTTAGTTTGAATTTTGGGACGTTACAAGTTGGTATCAGAGACTTAGTTTGAGTGATTTAGGTGCGCTCTACATTGTCTTTGAACTCAAACTAAGGATTGATATATTTCTAAATTAAGTTTTGAAAAAGAAACTTTTTATACAAAAAAAAAAAAAAAGTTAGGTCAAAAACATGAGCTCGATCTTTTGTCATTTCCTTGTTTGATTGTTGGCTTAAGACCCTGTTCATGATCTTTTGACCTAAATTTAATTTATAAAAAGGAAGATGCGATGCGGACAATCATCCAGAACTCAGAAATGAAGTGATTCTCAATATACCCATATTGATGTACATTTTATGCTATTGATAGATATGCCTGCTAGAATATAGGCTAATGTCCTGTTTAGGAATTACATGCTAGAATTAACTGATTTGTATAGATGCCTCGATATGCCTTATATGTGTTTCTTAGTGTATGTGTTGTTGAATCTATATTTAATATTATTGAGTCGTTAGGGTAAAGACACATAATTAGAATCTGATAACCTTAGAATTTTTCATTTGCATATCACCTTCCTTTTAATCGTGTTTTTGATATATAACAACCCACATGGAGATTTTTCAAAACCTTCAATACATTTCATAGCAACATATTTTTACATTTTAATCAACATTTATATTTTACTAAATAGAAATATAATTAAAAAAATTATATTTATTTATTATCATATATTAAAAATCAAACAAATTATAATGGTTGTTTTAGTACAAATAGATTATAATTTAAATGGTGTTTGAGACTTTATTTAAAAACAACTTACTAACTTATTATCTTTTTAAAAAATCAATAAATTAAAAAAAAATGTTTGCTGATATGCAAACATGTATAGGTTAAAACAAACATTTAAAATAAATTTATTGATTTTTCCGTCACAAAAATTAATCCAAATAGTTTTTAAAAAACTCATTTTTTTTCACCGTCATAAGTCAATAAATCATGAAATCCCAAAGAACTCTTAATCTTAAAATAGATGAAACTTGAGGTTAAAATTTATTATGTAGTGAAAAAAAATACTTATATTTTGGCCCGTTGACAAAAAAAAAAAAAAAAAAAAAAAAAACCATTGATATATTGTTTAAAATTTAACCATTGTTATTGCTTGTGGTAACTTGAAAATTGAATTAAATTGCAAGTAATAGCCGGTTTTAATAGTTTAATTGTAAAAAGAAAATTACTTTTTGTTAGTTGAACCAAAATATAAAGACTTATGGGTGCGTTCGGCATGGAGCGTTTGTAAGCGTTAGAGAGTTTTTAGCTTCTAGCGTTTGACAACACGCTTCAAATCCAAATGCTACTTCATATAACGTTTGACAAAACGCTACAAACTACAAGCTACTAGCTACCCACTACAAGCTACCAACTACTAGTTAATTTTGCTGAACACCTGTGTATCTTTTTTTAATTTTTTTATTAAACCTTACAAGAAAAAAAAAACAATAAATACGATTAGTCTAATCTTCTTCTCAATCACTAAATGAGATCAATAATTATTTTGAAATGGATGAAATAATAGCAAATCAAATCAAGAAGTCAATGAAATCCGATGGAGATGAAGTGCTGCTCCTCGTTTGTCAATAAACACAACCCCGCCCCGCCCGCCAGTTGAACGTCTCGATCCATCACTTTCCTCTTTTTCTCAATCTTTTTTCCTTTCTTCTCTCCGTACAAAATCCATCCATCTGCACGCCATCCAACAATCAAACAAATCCCTTCTTCTACGTGTGTTCTGGGTATCTGAAATTTCTGACCAATTTCAAATCCATTCACTTTTTCTTGTATTTGAAATTGATTCGCTGATGGGTGCATGCCCATTCATTCTTTGAGGTTTACGCATTCATTGCTTGCTTCTCATGGAGTCGATCTGGAGTCAAAATGTCGTCCCAGCTCCCTCCCGGTTTATTTTCGCTGTTTACTTCGCTTTTGCCTCCTTTGGTGCCAGGGTGTTGCTCGATAGATACGTATATCAAGTAAGATTCACTTGCTACTTGACTGAATTTGAGTTTTCTTCACTAATTTCATGATTCACTGTATTCGAATGCATTGGCGTCTGAGTTCTTTTAGTATTCTTGCAACTACTTTGCGTAGTTTAGGTTTTGGTTAGTCTTGTTATCGAGATTATCATGTGTTTATGATCTTATACTACTTCACTTATGTAGATATGTTGCCGGATTTGTAAATTGAACACCCTAGACTGATCATTACTTCACTTCTCCAAAAATTTCTTGTCTAGTTCTGTAACATGCCAACAGGAAAACTAATTTCGGTTGTTTTCAGATTTGTTAGTTCTATATTTTTTGGTGTATTTATGTGTATGATGCATAAGAGTCAAACGGAAAATCACACCACTAAAAACCCTTGTTTTCTTTAATTTTGTCCATGAAAACTGAAGGCTCAATTGAAAGGCAATTTGCCATTTCAATCTCAATTACAACGAATTACAACTTCTTGCTATCCATCCAGATCCTCATGAACACAAGTCTCTTTTTGCCAATATAAATCAATTATGTGTTACATCATTGTTCTATGGACTTTTTATTGTCTGTAATTTTTAATTAAATGAACAAAATTCAATGTAATTTATGAGTTTCAAGATTCCTTTTTGTTAAACTTTATTCATTGATCATATTCCAACATCTTAACTGTGACTTATGAGATCTACAACATTTTAAAGATAAAAAAAACATCTTATAAACATCACAATGATGATAATAAACAACATGAGAGAATTTGTAACTTATTACTTTTGACATTTTTCAGAGACTATCGATATGGTTGATGAGCAAAGGGAACACTCCATTGAAGCTCAATAAAGCTACAAAAGCAAAAGTAGCAAAATTCACCGAATCCATGTGGAAGCTTACATATTATGCTATTATTGAATTTACTGTTCTTGCTATTACTTCTCATGAGCCTTGGTTTACAGACATAAAAGGATATTTTAGAGGCTGGCCAAATCAAGAACTAAAGTGAGTAAATTTATTTTGTTTTTATATATATTCACATACTTATTTTTGGGTGTTTAAACTTAAAGCTCTTCAATTTAAGAGGATTCTTGATCTTTCTTGTATTAGTTTTGTACTTTTGTAGGTGAGTTATTTAAAAGTATCAGTTTTTTTTTCAGGTTTTCTCTAGAACTTGTGTATATGTGTCAATGTGGGTTCTATGTTTATAGCATTGCTGCTCTTGTTTTGTGGGAAACTCGAAGGAAAGATTTCTCTGTGATGATGTCACATCATGTAATCACTGTTTTTTTAATTGGCTATTCCTACATTACAAGGTATTTCTTTTTTACTTTGCTTTTTTATTTGGCTTCTTTTGTTGCATAGTTGGGAAATACTTAAAACACCCTTTTAAGTAGATGACTTACTTTAAGTTCAGATTTTGATAAAGTTAAAAAAAATCGATAGTATATTAAAAGAATTCTGAGAAAGAATACAATAAAAGTAGATTACTATCAAGTTCAAATCTGAAAAAGAAACAAACCCAATAATTGTTGTACAACAAAAGATTAAAAATTTGACTTTGTATATGCTAAATGATGTTTTTTGGTTTTTGTAACTACCAAAAACAAACCTAAATTTTGACTTTTCAAAACTCCAAAAACCCCAAAATCTTGTAAGACTTTTTTTTTTCTCTATTATAATGATGTTAGTCTGGAAAAAAGTGTTATATACATAAAGTGTTTATAAACAATGGTAAATTATAAACGAGTTGCATATAGATAATACAAAACATAAACCATTTACAAATTGAAATATACACAACATTGAAATGTTAAAAGAAATAGGTTTTCGAAAATGCATAAAATATTGGTTTATAAAACAAATCCAAAGATTAAAAATTCAATTGAAGGGTGTGTTTTAAGAAAGAAGAGTAAGATCATATAAAAAGAAAGAAAGTGAGGGTAAATGAGTAAATATAGATATCTGAATGCTTAAAGGGCCACTTTCCTCCACTTAAACAAACATATCTGTATATTTCTGTATCCATGAAGTCCTGAAAGTGACTAATAATCTAATTTTCAGAAGTAATAACATTTTGATTATATTCAAAACTTTGTATTCAGTGTTTAAATTCATGATTTTAGGTTCTTTCGAATCGGATCTGTAGTTCTTGCAGTTCATGATGCAAGTGATGTGTTTCTTGAAGGAGCTAAAATGTTCAAATACTCGGGTAAAGAAGTAGGGGCAAGTGTGGTATTTGGAATGTTTGCATTCTCATGGCTTATACTTAGACTCATAATCTTTCCTTTTTGGGTCATAAGAGCCTCAAGGTTTTTTCTCTTTTTTTCAATATTCCGTCTTTACCCTTTCTTTTTCCAAATCCCCACCCGATTAAATCTCCATTTGTTGTTTTGTTGTCAGTGTCCATCTTCTAGAAGCTTTGAGGCCTTCAGAAGTGTATCATATGAGTTTGTACTATGTTTTCAATACCATGTTGTTGACTCTACTTGTGTTTCATATCTATTGGTGGATTCTTATCTTCAACATGATAATGAGACAACTCAAGAACAGAGGACAAGTTGGTGAAGATATTCGATCTGGTAATCTCTCTTTCTTTAGGTTTTTGATATTTTCCACAATTTGGGCTTCTTTTCGTTAGGGTATAAATTGTAAATTTGATTGAAAATATGCAGATTCGGATGATGATGATTAGTTTGATGAAGGGAAGGAAGGTTACAGAGTTTTATACAGCCCTACAGTAGCTATGTATGAAATTAGGGTTGGAGTTTGATTCATGATCATCAATCATCATATATCATATGTTTCCTACTTATTAGATTACATACATTTTATTCTTTTGACTCATGCTTAAATAGAAAAAGGCTATCAACTAGTTTCTTGACACTTTTTCTTTCTTGAATTTGGATCTTTTGTGTGGGAGGAAAAAAGAAAGGGCAAATAGGTAAAAGGGTTAGTGTCTTAACCCATTAAGCCATGTTTTTTTTTTTTGGTTTAACTTCTTGAGTTCTTTTGTGTGATTAAAATTCCCTTGAAACATAGTTTGTGTATGGCATTGTTTGTTCGGATTCTAAGAATGCTAAAAACTTTAACAAATAAGCCATACACGAATTTAGTGATTTACTTGATTTTGTGCCTAAACAATAAGTAGATATATGATACATGTTACAATTATTTGATTATTAGTACACTTTATAACATGAAATTCCCTAATATTTTCAATTCAATTTTAAGTAAAAGGTTATCGTGATTTTTATTATATGAAACAAACTATTCAAATTATTTTCAAGTTACCAACAAATCTAATTTATTGTGTAAAACGGTAATGAATTTAGGGTTTATGTTTTTTGACATACCATTATAAGCTTACAAGGGTGTTGTTTATTTTCGTAGAGGTAAAATGTCTGCAGTCTGTTGACCGCATTTACAGAAAAAGAGACAGATCAAAGGTCTGCAATCTAAGAAAAAACGTTTTTTTTTTCTTTTTTTTTTTTAATATATGCAGTATGTTAAAATTTGAAACATATTCAAAAGAGTTTTTCCAAAAAAATAAACATCATCTAGGTTATTTACGTATTTGCATTTTTGTCAAAGTTTTAAACTTTGTTACAAATTTGGTCTGAATTTTTTTCTTAACAGAAATTTAATTTAAAGACTTTTTGCAGACTTTATATATATATATATATATATATATATATATATATATATATATATATATATATATATATATATAATGTACCTAAGATTATGTATAAAGCCTTGTAAATGATGTAGTTTTAAAACAAAACAAATTTAATTTCATTTTCTCTTAATTTTGTTTTAATAAAATACCATTGAATTGTGTTAAATTATGGAATTAAAAAGATGAATTATATATCTTTTTATTGCAAATAATTCTTGAAGTTTATAAAGAATGTAAAAAATCAATATTTTTTAACGAATATAACTCAAACGTTTTGTCATTCAATTGAAAAACTATATCTAATGATTTTGTGAAAATATTGATTTAGTTATTGCATGTTCTTCTTTTATATTTTATTCTATTAGATAATGTATAAAACGTTGTAAACGACGTAGTTTTAAAACAAAACAAATTCAATTTCATTTTCTCTTAATTTTGTTTTAATAAAATACCATTGAATTGTGTTAAATTATGGAATTAAAAAGATGAATTATATATCTTTTTATTGCAAATAATTCTTGAAGTTTATAAAGAATGTAAAAAATCAATATTTTTTAATGAATATAACTCAAACGTTTTGTAATTCAACTGAAAAATTATATCTAATGATTTTGTGAAAATATTGATTTAGTTATTGCATGTTCTTCTTTTATATTTTATTCTATTAATTTTCATTTAAAATTTAGTAGGGTTGATTAAATCGTCATGGTTTTTATGCTGTAAGTTTTTAAACACAATGAAGAAAAAGAAAATAATTTCGATCAGTTTAGTAAATCACTAAACGAAATATCATGATTTGTTTGGATATATATGAATCAAAACCATATAGTTTGAAAGGTTTTATATATAAGCTTAGGTATATAACAACCACATACCTAAGCTATATATATATATATATATATATATATATATATATATATATATATATATATATATATATATATATATATATATATATATATATATATATATATATATATATATATATATATATATATATATTCATTACAGTTTTTATAACCTTTTTAATACTTTTTACAATTTCTTTTAACTTTTTTGCAACCTTTTTATAATTTTTTAAGCTTTTATTTATACATTTTTTTTAAAAAAAAATTACAATCTTTTATTACAACATACTTAAACTTTTTTACAAGCTATTTTAAACTTTTTTTTTTTTTTTACAAAATTAAAAGGTTGAAAAAACCGTAAGAAAAATGACTGGAAGGTATGAAATATAAGTAAACATGTTTAAAAAGGATGATTTTTGTTTAGAGTATCTGAAAAAAGATTTAAAAAGTTTCAAGAAGGTTTTTACAACTTAAGTTTTATTAAACCTTTTTACTTACGTTTTTATAACGTTTCAAACTTATTAAACTTTTTATTTATATTTTTTTTATTTAAATTTCTATATTGTAAAATAAGTTTAAAAAGAGATAAAAAGAGGTTATGAAATAATTTGTTAAAAAGTTTGTAAAAGAAGTTCAAGAAAGGTTGTAAAAAGTCCGTAAAAATTTTGGACAAAAAGTCTTAATTTTTTTTTAAATATTGTAAAGTTTTTTTCTATTGAAATAAAAATAAAGTTTGAGGTGGATTTGTAAAAAATAACTCGGACTAAATTTTAGCAAAGTTTTAAACTTTGACCAAAAGTGTAAATATGTAAATGATATTGTAAATTATAATAAAATATCAAAACATATAAACCCTAATTTCTGTTGATTTTTTATACAATAAATTAGGTTTGTTGGCAACTTAAAAACAATTTAAATCATCTGTTTTATAAAATAATAATAACCTTAAAATAAATTTAAATTTCTTAGATGGTGTATAAATAATGGCTAAGTGTGACTCTGAAAAAGATGTTATATCAAAAGAGGTGATCAACTCCTTCCACGAAAATTAGATACAACAAACCAAATAACCAATCATATTTGTTTGAAGAACATTCATCAAAACAAGTTAATATTAGCTTTTTGATGGACTTGAAGATAATATATAATTTAACTCGGTTATGTTAATAGATTTAATATCACATGATTTCATATCTATTTAAAAAGAGGATGTCCTACCAGCCAAAAGCCCAAACTCAAAAGATTAAAGCCCAAGTGGTCCATTTTTTAAGTCCAACCTAACACCATATTTGGTGTTAACATCATTTATTTATATTTCAAATTCAAATTAATATGGTTAAATATAAATGATTTATACTCTTTATCTTAAATATTTTATTATATTTAAGAAAATTATAGAAATGGTCTTTGTGCTATCGCATATTAGGCATCAACAATTTATATAAAATGGACAAACTTGGTCCTTATATTTTTGTCGATATTACAGAGATGACCCCTCCGACACATGACGTCAAAAAAGTACCTTTAAATTTCTATAAAATGATATTTGTATCATTTCCATTTTTTCATTTTTTATTATTATGTGACTAATTCCCTAACTATAGGGACCATTTATGTTACTTTGCCCTAAGATTTATTTAAATGAGAGTATGAATGAAGAGGGTGGTGGTGTTTTCTGATCCACAAAAACAAATTTGATGTCCATATCTCCTAAAATGGAATTGATTATTGGAGGTGGTGGTTGGAGACAATAAAGGTGGTTGATGGAGATGAAATGACGGCGATAACGGTGTTGTTCCGATGAAGGCAGTGGACGTGGGGAGAAAATGGAGTTTTTGACTATAATAGGATGGGTAGAAAAAATATTTACTATTTTAGTGTTCTTTCAAAATTATTTACCATTTTAGTGTTTTTCTCTTTTTTCTTTTACTTTTTAGTTTTCTTTTCAGATTTTTTTTTTAATTTAAATATCTTATTTTTCTTTTTTCCTTTTTTATTCCTCCTTTTTATTGTTTTTCTAATTTTCTTTACTTTTTAGTTTCTTTTCAGTTTTTTTTTTTAATTTAAATATCTTTTTTTTTCTTTTTTATTCCACATTTTTATTATATATATATATATATATATATATATATATATATATATATATATATATATATATATATATATATATATATATATATATATATATATATATATGACAACTTTCATTTTAGTTTTTTTTTACTGTTTTTTTAAATATATGTTTTTTTATTTGTTTTTTTCTGTATTATTTAAATATCTGATTTTCTTATACAACCTTTTTACCATCAAATTTTAGCTTCAACATTAAAAAATCATCAAAAACCACCACTATAATCAAATTTTAAGGTGCAAAAATTCCAACATTCACATACAATGTTTTTAAAGTGAAAAAAATCTCAACATTGTTTCTTACAAAAAAACATCACAAAAAAAAACCCAATATTGTTTATTACAAAAAGAAAAACATCACAATTAGCTTCATCTTGAACCGGTAAAAAATTATTACTTGTAAAAAAAATAATAATAACAAGAGAATAACTATAACAAATACCATAAAAATATTATTTTTTAAATTACCTTGGTATAGACGGACATCGTTTTCGATTATGTCCCGTTAAATCCGCGTGCTCGAGAATGGTTGGAGAGTCATCCACTTAATAGATGTCCGTCTATGCCAAGGTAATTTAAAAAATAATATATATATTTTTTACAGGTAATGATTTTTTACCGGTTCAATATGAAGCTAATTGTGATGTTTTTCTTTTTGTAATAAACAATGTTGGATTTTTTTTGTGGTGACATTCACCTACAATGTTTTTTGTAAGAAACAATGTTGAGATTTTTTTTTCACTTTAAAAACATTGTATGTGAATGTTGGAATTTTTGCACCTTAAAATTTGATTATAGTGGTGGTTTTTGATGATTTTTTAATGTTGAGGCTAAAATTTGATGGTAAAAAGGTTGTATAAGAAAATCGGATATTTAAATAAAACAGAAAAAATTAAATAAAAAAAACATATATTTAAAAAACAGTAAAAAATGATAAAAAAACTAAAATGAAAGTTGTCATTATATATATATATATATATATATATATATATATATATATATATATATATATATATATATAAAGGTGGAATAAAAAAGAAAAAGAAATAAGATATTTAAATTTAAAAAAAAAAAACTGAAAAGAAACTAAAAAGTAAAGAAAAATGAAAAAAACAATAAAAAGTGGAATAAAAAAGAAAAACAGAAAAATCAGATATTTAAATTAAAAAAAAAAACTGAAAAGAAAACTAAAAAATAAAGAAAAAGAAGAAAAACACTAAAATGGTAAATAGTTTTGAAAGAACACTAAAATGGTAAATATTTTTTCCATCCATCCTATTATGGTCAAAAACTCGGAGAAAATGGGAGAATGTAAGGGTTGGATGGTGGTGATGGTGTCAAGTGTCACCCAATCAATTGAACTTATCATTTAATTATCATTGATCGATTCTAGTTCTGGATCGACCTTGTTCATTATCGGCTATTTTATGGGTTTTCATCCCTTGAGTTCTATGTGTTCTTGAGCCATATTTCAAA